CCGTCACTCACATGTTGCTTCACTGATGGTACATAGTTTAATCTGAGTATAATACCAACTTTAATGTCGAGTTAAATTTATATTTTGAGTAAATATAACCTATTTACGTAAACGCTGCTTGCTAAACACCGAGCTGGAATGTTTAAAATAGACCAATCAATATCCAAACTGATTGTCCTATTGAAGGTATACTGGTGTATCCAAGTCAGCTATGCAGATTCATTGGTTTGAATAGTTTGATTCTCTGAGGTTAATTCGGTTGCCTAAGTCTCTTATGGGTTCGACCTCAAACAAGCCAAGTGGTAATTCGGTTATTAGATGACCGTTATCTGGCTAGTGAAATAAACAGATTGACGGAAGTATTTAGAATGTTGATTGTTTTTCACTTTATTCCATGAAATTATCAACTGCACTCAGTGACTGCTCGAATAATCTATAAGACTTCCTTATCGAAATATTCGGAATGGAGTGTAAGGTGGTGGTGTGTATTTGTCCAGCTGCAAGTATGAAATCATATATTGTCAGAGATACCTTTCAACTTATGCTCGTTTATCTGTAACAATTAGATTATACACTTCATAGCTGAAGATCCTACCTGTTGTTTAAATAACTATAGACAGGGCAGTATTTTTCTACATTGAGGTATATTTACGTTACCTAATAAACTACAGTTATGCGAAGGAAGTTTCTTAAAAGCATACCATTGTTTTTTTGATGTAAACATATTCGATTAGTCAAACTTACCTTTTGCATTTTTCCCTTATTAAAAATTACCTCAAATATCCTTAAAATCTATCCGTTTCTAGTTATCACTCAAACTGCGATATTTGGATGATAGTTTACTGTTAAACAATGAGGTAAAACAAATGTTTAGAAGTTAGACTAAGATCAGCTTTTGTGTTGTACAGAGATGAACTTTATTCAGGTAAATGCACTATGCAATTAGTTGGCTTTGAAACAGCCATAAAACAATCCTAGTTAGAGTAAAGAACTCTATCTCGTTTTATTTAGGATGTGAATAGTTTACCTAATAATTACACAGTAGACAGAAGGTTACTTTAATAAGTACAGCCAAAATTTCACTGTCAAACATGCAGAAGACATGAATATGATGATACAAGGAGGTTTTCATCGGCAACCTTTATTAAGTAACTATGATAAAATCCACTTCCATTTGATGATTTATATCATTGTCAATCGCTTCTGAAGTTGCGAATTTACTACTCTTCTTTTCAGGTTCACACTTTTTAAATGGTTTGATTATATACATGACAGGTGATCAGACTGTAACTGATATGGTTCCCAATTCCTATGCGCTAATTTACTCCTATGGATTTTGCAGGTGACTGGTTACAGAAAGCAGGAATTCCTGAGATTTGGTTTTATGCCCATTAACACTAATCAACAAAGTATGTGTACAAGCTCAACTCCTCTGGTGCTTCTTTCGAAGTTTTGCACAAAGCATCCTGACAACCATCTCAAATCATTTTATCAGAAATATAATGGACTGCAATATTCAGTCACTTGGTTAGTTGTTCAGAGTTCAAAGTCAATCAACAAAATTTCTTCAGCTCAAAGAACCTAGATATATAACATAGGTGTTTATTCAACGACAGACCAGTCAGCACACTCTAGCTCTGCAGAAGAATCTAATTAAACCTGTTTTGACTTCCCTAACTGTGGTATCAGGTCATATATGTTGACATCTCTGAAGATGAAGACAAGCAGTTCAGTAAAGAGACTGTTTTCAACGATTTCATTCACTAAGGTGTATAATCGCAGTTATATGTAAAAGTTGTGTATTAATACGATTGTTCAGTTTAGTAAATGAAATCGCCCAAAAGTCTCTTTGCAGAACCGCCTGTCTTTATGCAGATCTTTCACAAATTTATGAAAAGATACAGCTTACTTTGAGGTCGTATACACATCTCACTGAAGAGGTAAATATTGAGGGCGCTGTTCACTTTAGAGTGAATAAATTGGAGCTCTTCCTCTTTTTATAAGAAAGAATTTACCGGCTGTTTATTGAGCTTCACATTAATTAATTATTTGTTATCCTATTGGTAGATTGTCACTGTTTCATTTTATTGTTTTGATACTTTCAATTTCCTATTGCTATTTAGGGCTGAATCGCTCAGTATGTGTTAGAAGATGGGCCCCGATGTAGTTGCCTCAACACTGCTGAATATTCATGATGCCTTATTCACCTTAGTGGCTAGCAATGGAATCAAATGCTCACGTTTCATCCTACTTGAGACTGGTCAACTGGGTTTACCTGCACTCCAGTGAGTGATGTTGTTCCCACTTAGACTTGAATCAAGTTCCCATTGCTTCAAACGCCAAAGTGTTATCCAATAGGCCACATTTTCATCTAAATCACATCTTCACATCTAACACCATACTTTTGAAATAACGAAATTGTTGGAATACAGCCTTGAGGCAGTGATTATTCGTTTATTTATTTGAATTATAAAACATAGTGATACCGTGTTATTTACTTGATGACTGTGTTTCGACAGCAAATTACCATTGCTCATAATCATATCAATGCAATCACACTACTTTCGACATCTGCTTCTGATAGTCCTGTCACCTCTTTTTCTTTGTTTCTATTGGTAATAAAAGTTCCCATATCTCTGGTATAGGTGTTGCATCATTTCTATTACATGTGTTAGGTGTTGATTCGATGAATAAAGATTCAGTAATCAGTCTCTCACCACCTAGTTAGGTTGGATTTGATTTCAGTGATTTTATCCCACCCATCCTATAGTGTGGTTGTGTGTCAGTATATCATTGCAATAGCCGAGTGTTTTTTCTTTCAGACCAATCACCCTTTTGAGATCTATTATTCTACATTCTGCTAAATTCCTATGTTCTGACAAGCTAACTGGCCCCGACCGGTTAGTTTAACCTATATACTTGACCTCAAAGTCATTGCAGAGAATTCGATAGATTGGATTATTTTGCCTAATTGGTTCTATCATGCGCTAGATTCAAAACTACGAGCGGAACAGGCTGGATTGAGGAAGTACAAATCATGTACGGACCAAATTGCAACGCTACGATACACATCATGTAACAGAGTATAGAATGGCGGTCAACTGGATCTCTACCTCAACTTCATCGACTTTGAAAAGGCCTTCGACAGCGTCGACCGAGAAGTAATTTCACAGGCAACTGCTTCACCCCTACGGAATACTACAAACCTTTATCAACCTCGTTCAACAGTTGTATGACGACGCCACATGCCAAGAAATTCACAATGGGAAGCCCAGTGATGCCTATAAAGTGAAGACAGGAGTAAGACAAGGTTGCCGTCTACTATCACTCATGATATTCCTGACTATGGTGGACTGGATCATACAGCAAACTGAGAAACGAGAGGAGGAGGATACGCTGGATCAAGGAGAAGATCCTAGAAGATTTGGAGTTCTCCGATGACTTGTGTCTAATGTCACACAAACTCGGAAATCTACAGGCAAAAACTAACAAGTTGACAGAACAGACCGCGAAGATGGGACTTCAAGTGAACGTAGAGAAGGCAGAGGTGATGATGATACCCAACCAACACCACCACCAACAACAAGCTCTAATCACAATCAACGGGATAAACTTAAAGGAGGTAGTCTATTTCACCTCTCTGGGTAGCACCGTTTCATGTACAGGCGGCACAGACGAGGGCGTCAAAGCCAAGATCGGGAAAGCAAGACGGGCGTTCATTAACCTGAAACCAGTGTGGAGATCTTCTGCACTCAGCTTAAAGCGTGAACAGCATCCGGATTTTCAACACCAATTCAGTCAAGTCAGTACTTTTATGTGATGGTTCAAAGACCTGGCGTGTTACGAAAGGCTACAAACTACAGATATTCATCAACAACTGCCTACGCCCGTTACTGAAGCTCAGATCGCCAGAAAGAATAAACAACAAGGAACACACTCTGGCTGGCTGGTAACGAACCAACCAAGGACCTATCGCTCAACAAATATGCAGTGGAAGGAAGTGGAGATGGATTGGGCATGCACTGAGAAGACCATTCGGGAACATCATGTGCCAGCCACTCAAGTGGAGCCCACATGGGAAACGATGAGTTAGGCGTCCGAGGTGAGGGTGACATGGAGGAGATGGTGTGAGGAAGAAATGAGAGTTAGTGTTGAGTCGTGAAGCCAGGTTCAAAGTATTGCAGAGAAGGGAGTGGAATGGAGACGTGCTACTGAAGCCCTATATTCCATTAGGAACCGAAGGGACAAATAATAATATAGTATAATAACAATTGGTTCTGCCAAATCCTAAATCGGCCAACAAAGCATATCTCTGAGTGAGTTTGTAGGTTTAATTGACACCCTAACTCCAGAAACGATGAAGATCCTACGTAAAGTTTCTGACTTACCTTTCTTATACGGTAACCCTCTAAGGAAAGTGCATCAGATCTTTCACAGTGTCCAAGTTTTTCCACTCATATTAGCGATAATTCAGTTACGGGTTAATCAGGTATATCAAGTCCTCAACTTAGCTATACAGTTTGACCATTTATTAAGTTTGGTTCGCAGTTCCTCAGGCATCTTACGTGTAATTTCCGCTATCACACAAGTAGCAGTTACAATTATTTTTTCTCTTTATAAACATTTTTGAACAAGAACAAATAAGTGACGTTTTACTAGACAATACAATGAAGATTTAATCTGTTGTTTTAGGAAGGAAAAGAAATATTTTCGGTAAAACATGTTGTTTACTAATTCATATCACGTTCTCTTTTCTCCTTCTATCCAAATTACTGCATCTTTTCATCATTATCATTAAATAGAGTAAGCTAATATTCTTTTGAACCTTTGGATACTATTCAAACTTTTGTCAGTTTGAATCTCGTTTCTTTCTCATTTTTAGAAAAATAATTATTGAAAAACTCATTTTACATAACACCGTTATTTTTTTGTTCTTGTCGTCAATTTAAAAAAAGAAAAGAAGAAAAACACATTAAAGAATGTTGAAACAAATGAGATTATTATGCAACCTTTTTTCTAGATCTTTCTTTTGAAGCAGTTCGAAATAATGAAGCTGTTAAATTAATTGTAGAAAATCGATTGGCTCTGGTGAAAATCTGGTGTGGGATCTTATTGGATTGCAGGAGATGAGGCTTTGTATCGTCATTCTTTTGTACATTTTGTTCAGTAGTGTTGTTAACTATTTTGGGAGAAAACAGAAAATAGTATGAAGTTATTCAAAGTGATATAAAGTTTATAATAAGAATATTTCAGGCTAAAGTGTATTTTACAGTTAGAATGTGGTGGTCAACAGTTTCATTATCTCTCTTGATGACAAGCTGTGCTGTGGATGATGACTAATGTTCAGGTGAAAAGTCTGCTGCCAGTTTTACCACTACGACGTATATTTATACCGGGATTAGTTATTATATATACATGCTAGGTGATGGTTAGAGACGAAATGAAAATAGAGGCTGTGACCAGATTTGAACCAGTAATCTATAGTATCAGTAGAAGTCTGTCAAACCACTGTTATCTCAGATAGTCAAACTGACAGTCAGTATGGTGCTCTCCTCCTGTCTACTTCAGCTTGATTTTCTTTGGGATAAGAAGTCCTGGCTAGGGAGTCAGTGTGATTACGATCAAGTTATGAATTCACATGGTAGTCTGGTAAAACCCTTGGTGATTGAAATAAAATTATGATCTGGTCAGTAGTTGAATCTCGTATTTCCACTAAATCGATAACCCTGTGGTGGCTGGTTCAAATCGTCCTGCACTTCAGGTTTTCATTTCATCTTCGATCACCACCCATTACCAGTTATAAAAGTCTTCCAAACCGGGGCTACCTCAAATAGTTAAAATGATTATATATGTATTTATATACAAGCTGCCGATAAAAAAATTGAGTCATATGATTTAAGAATGAAACTGTGGATTCAGCTGATTATCTGCCACTTCACTTGAGGATACTATCATAGGTTGATGAAGATATTTCAGATTCTAGTTGCATGGATTGTTGTACACTTACTACAGTGAAGGTCAATTGATTTCAGTTGTTTATTGTAAGTCGCGTGGTTGGATGATTGAAGCCCTCATGAAATTCATCTTTTGTTCGACACTGTAATGTATACTATTTAGATAAGATAAGACTTGATCTTGGCACTATGTTAGAATTTTACTTCATTTCAGTTTGTTCTTCCGATGTGTCATGCAATGAAATAGTATAATTTACTGGATAATGTTTTGGAAAGAGTCTCTATAAGGTCAGGAGAGTACAGTAATTTAAACGAATTAAAAATGGTAGATGCTGATAGGATAAGGAGCCCGGAAGAAAGTTGAGCTATAGTAGCTCTTCATGTAATTGCATTTAATCACTTTATAGGATTGGACACAGCAAGAGTCTTGGAGACTAACTGAGCAGGGTTTACAAAATCTGCAAACGGATCAGTTTACTACACATGACAAGATTTCTGAGACGACTTGGAATTGGTGCACATCATAAACCACTTAATCCCCTACAAATCATATTGTTCAGACCAAAAGACACAGTAGTCAGAGAAGACAAACCAGACACCATTCAAAATGTCAACTGCAACAAATGCTATGAGAACTACTTTGAACAAAGTGGTCACCCTGTTTGTCATCATTTATATGAGGATAAGTTGGTTATTAAACGTCATAGCATTTGGATTCTTATAGATATGAATTCACAATTTTGGAAATGTGGAGATCTTGGACAGGGAAAACAAAGTATTTCAGAGTATTCCTAGCAGCTTGGAATTCCATTCAGTCAGAAATCGATAGATGCATAGACATAGACCCAATCCACCAACCAATAATAAAAATGATAAACAACCACAAGATCAGAGGTCAGGCAGAGAAACAACCAATAAAAGGAACTATTTAGTCAGTGACACAGCAATCAAAGGAAACTAAAAATCACGAACCACTTCATCAGGACAAGCTGCTGAATGTCTAACGGTAAAATTCGGAAAGCTGACTTCATACTGAAGTTCTTGTTGATGTTGTTGTCGTTGTCAAAAAATGATAATGAAAAATTCATTAATAAACCACCCAGCTCAGAGCATATAATACAACCAAGATCATTCACGTCAGCTACAAAAATTCTCCATCATTTAAATAATCGATACTATTACTCGCCCTAATGCATCCCATAAATGATGTAACGGTCAGAAATTAAACTTGTCATCGACAACTTGATAATAACAATAGTAATAATAATAGTAATGATAATAATAATAATAATGGCCTTATTATGAAACCTGTTTCAAGAAAACTCTACAGAATTTTCGGCATGTCATATAGCATCAGTTGGATAGAGGCAGTTTACGAGTATACATAACAAAATCAAATAAGTATAAATTACATAAAAAAGATTAGAATATTCACTTTGTCTACAACTTTTGTTAAAATATACAGCCAATTTAGGTAAACAATGACATTAGCAATTAGATTTATAATACATAAATAGTAACATGCTTATAATTAGTTAGTTTACTTTCACAAACAGAAATTGATTAGTTAGTTCATTTCTTACACTTTCTTCATCACACAGCAGACGAGCTAAGTACGGTATCGCAGAGATTTTATACATTGTAGTATGTGCATTAAGTCATATACTTGCTGCTCGTCTTTCCAGATGACCGACATGCAGAGAGTTCTGAGTGAAGAGGATGCTGGTCACCTGACAAAATAACTCCTGCCGAATGATTATATGAGTTAATACGTTTGTCTACAACTGTTTTAATTAGAAGGTTTATAGGTACATCACTAGTTCTGCTGATAATCTTCGAAGTTCTGCTCAATACAACATGGTCATTTTCAGCAACCCAGGAAAGAATAAAGGGGACAATAGAGGAGAACAGGCAAATTGCAGGAGTTTATAAAACATAAGAGAATAGGCTGTTATAATAGCAGATACTCTCAACTTCCTAATATAGAAAGTTAGGTGGAAAATTCTTTTGCAAAGTGGTAAGATATGGGAGGACCAGGAAAGTTTTGAAGAAAAACACGCATCCAGATAAATCACACTGATGACATTCTTTAATACACAACTTTCCATAGAACAGGAATCATGAGAACCAAGCAGTTTACATAGGTTATTTCAACTTCTCAATCTGATGTTTGTGGTCTAATATTTTGAGAAATTAAGCACAAGATCATTCACAGAGGACTATCTTATAACAGTAGATGGGAGATCATTCATTCGGGAACAATTTGTTGGAGAGGAGGTAGGTGTGGAAACTGTTAGGTCATCAGCATATATGATTAAATTAGTACCCACCGAAGATGTCAAGTCATGCAGAAAGAATGAGAAAAAACATGGGGAAAGGACAGCTGTTTGGGGAACTCCAGTCACAGTAAGGAATGAGGTGGTGCGCTTTCCTCTGTGAACAGTATGCTGTTTCCTTTTAGGGAAGTAAGAATGCAGCCAGTTGATTATCCAGGGCTGAGTATTAGTTCCGTGTAGCTTATCCAGCAAACGAGGCCTTGGGACAGAATCAAATGTTCGTGTAGTCTAAAAAGGCACTCATGACATAGTTGACATTTTTATTAAGATTATGAGCAATATTGTGATATAAGAGAGTGGTGGCATTGAAAGTGCTTCTTCTGTTCTTATATTCAAATTGACTAGGGTCTCCGAAAGCATTTAATGAGGGCTCCAGCACAGGTATTATTAACCTTACCATTATTTTTGAGAACGGAGAGGTGACTGTAGTCAGACGGAATTTCGTACATGTGCTTAGAGTCCTTGACTTACGTACAGGGACTATCTTAATATCTTTCCAGGCAGATGGTATAGTGTTTTCTGAAACTACCTGTTGAACATGTTAGCTAATGGATGGCATAAAATATCAGCACACTTCGCGAATACGAAGCTTGACATACTAACATGAAATCAAGAGTTGACAAGCTTAAATTGCTGTAACACAACTTGAACCGTAAGTAAGTGGTTAGTGCCTATTTCTTTTAGTGTTCTTTCATCTCTGAAGCTTCAAGTTCTGTCATTTTAGCAGACTGAGTCGAGTTTTGCTCGTTTTGGGTGTCATAGCATCGCTTGCCTGTTTTATGTGATAATACTAACTGTCACAGTGTTCATTTCTATTTGCTTACACCTAAAAATAGAACAAATGTGTTAGAATATACCTGCATTTGGGAAGAAAGATTTTAATGTGACCTCCGTTTTGGTGATAAAAAGTATATGAAATAGTTTGCTCCTTTTATTAAATCAAAAACGGGCGTTCAAGAGACAGATATTACGAAGTAAAATTCTATTTTTTGTCTGTTTACTGAAATTACCAAAACTAGGGATACGTGCAACAGTTTGTTGTAAGCCATGGTAAAAGTATGATTTCAAGCAATAAAGCAGTTACTGAACCAAAAAGAACGCACATCTTTCAGATCGTCGTTTAAAAGTTGTGTGATAATATGGTTGACACTTGAGGAAATTTCCAGAAGTTGTTAAACATCGATTTCACACTGCATCTACCTATCTAAGCTCATGAACATTCCATTTACACAACAGTACAGCAACTTTCTGATTAATCTCGCTTAGAATTGTAACTATAAATTCACTTATGGCCATATTCTTAGTTTAAAAGTGTTCAATCATCATTAACATCATTATTACTGTAGGTCCAAGTTGCCACAGATCATAACAACACATAAGGTAACAAAGTAAAAAGAAGAAAACAGAAAAAGTTAGGAAAAATCGGTCAAAAGTGGTAAAGAGTAGTAAAATAGAAAAACCATGCATGAGGAAGTGCTGAATTCACTGCAGAGTTTAGGATAAAAATGAAGTGTGGACATGTTTGCACCACTGGTATCAATTCTAAGCCATATCACCTAGGGTGTAAAACTACAGGTTTCTGTTATCACGTGGAACCAATCGGTTGGTCTGCATCTCTCTACACTACTCAGACCAACAGTTAAAGACTTCAATGCAATGATGCCATGTTTTCTTCTGTCCACCTAGAATCATTTTCCATTCTGAACCGACTTCAGCTAACATCACAGGACGAGGCAGAGGGCGATTAGGCATACTTAACAAGTATCCCAAACATCTCAGTCGATGAAGATTCACAACCTCACTGACTAGCTTTCTTCCTTTCCCTAAAGTAATACACCTGACTTCTACGTTACTGACGTGATGACACTAGGACATACAGCCTATGTTAC